TTGGAGCACATGTTGACTTAGATTCATGACAAGTGTAGGTTAGTGATCTAGTATAGGGAGACACCTTGGATTCATGACAAGTGTAAGCACAAGATTAAGTCTTGCAAGTGTGTGTGTGAGACGTAGTGCAAGAGCACCTAGTGAATGGAGAAGCCCACCACCTATTTAACTTAAGGTTTATATTTCTTCTTGCATATTTCATCTTTTCCTCTCAAACCCTAACTTGACCACCATTAGAGCAAAGCTTGAGTCATAGTTTAAAGCTTTATTTTGGTGCCCTTCCATTTGCCTTAGATCATTGAGCTTGGAATACAAAAGCCTTGCCTCATCATCATCTTTATAACCCTAGAAGGAAAACTTAAGATTCCTTTGCTTTCCTTGGATTTAAGAGGAACAATCCTCTTGTGAGGTAGGGGGTGTTATCATTTATCTTCCAAGTAATTTAATTATTTTTATAGTGATATCCAAGTTATATGCATGTCTTGTATGGAAATAAGAAATAAATGACTAATTGTAACTTGTATGAAATTCATTTTAGACTTGATAAATGGCATGACCATGACTTGATCTTTGTTGTGTATTAAATTGGCATGATTTAAATGAGCTTTTAAAGCTAGAGGATTAATTGATTTATGTTGATTTAAATTCAAATTAATTATACCATGCTTGTAATTCATTTGTGACTTGATATAAAACATGGCCATGAATTACTCCATGTCATATATTAAATTGGAATAATTTGGACAATTCTTGAAATCTAGAGAAATTACCTAGTTGGTCTACTTAATTTCTACCATGTTAAACTAGTGATTTAGTCATGTAATCCATGGAACTCATTGTGTTTTATCACATATCATAACTTGTTGCTCTACTTGTTGATTTTGGAAACTTGCGATATTATCAAGAACATGACTAGGCTAGGACTTGGTTCTAGTACGGGGGATTGTCCCTCTAGAACTATAGTGCGCACTAGGGGAAGGTACCCATGGGTTAATAGCCCTAAAGTGATCTCAAGAGTATGGTTTTACTCCGGGCAATATCCAAGTATCCACTTTGGCTTGATTTCGCATTTAAATTCCAAGTTGTTAACTTTGTGAATTTACATCTCATTATGTTATGTTGAAAGTTCTATTGTCACTTGATAATATGAATTAAATTGTATTGGATTGCAAACTTGGTATAAAGATAAACCCATGCATTCCCTACGAGTAAACTTGTTTACTCACTCCTAAGTTACTGGGTGTTTTTCAGGTAAAGAAGCCATAATGTGGGATGCACAACAATCTTAGACTTGCTAGACTACTTGGAGTATTTTTTTTGCTATGTTAGAATATGAACATGTTAGCATATCTTGTTCCATTTTGCTTACTATGTCAAATAATTATATTTATTGTTCAAGTCATGTAATGTGTACTTAAGTACACCTTTGGCTACTCTATATATGTGTATTGCAATGAGGCCAAGGGCCAAAGATACTTTAAGCTATGTATGCTATTTAATTTTCATACTATGTTTATGAAGTATGTGAAAACTCATCCATTGAAGGGTTAAATTTTGCATATAATATGCCATAAGGCCATAGGCCAATCTAGCGCGTTTGAAACATCATTTTACATATGCGTGCATGTTCATATATTGAAAAATACATTGATTCCAACTTTTGAGTTATTTATGGTTGATTTATGAGAATTTATGCAAAAACTCATGCATTGAGCATTATTCAAGGTTTTCTTGCGACTTAACATGCAATGGTTGTTCAATTAAGGTTTAAAGATGTTTTGAAGCATGTTTGAATCATTTGGGAAGCATACAAAACCTTAGAATTAATCCTAGCATCCTTCCCATGGATCACAGTGAGTTGCAGTAGAGTTTTTCGCAGCAGCAGGGTCCATCGGTCGGCTGATGGCAATCATCAGTCGACTGATGATGGTCTCGTAGCATTCCAGTAGCCATTTTAGAAAAAAATAAGCTATCAGCCGGCTGATGATTGGGGTTCAGCTGGCTGATGATTGAATTTTAGTCAGCTGATGATGGAGGTTCAGCCGACTGATCCTCCCTGATGCACGGTTCACTTCCAGCATCTCGGACAGAACTTTGGGTCAACTTTAGAGGGCCGTAACTCATTCATTTCTAATCCAAATTAGGTAATTCTTGAGCCTAAACTCAAGATGTTGAAGTCAGTTTTAAATTGACACCAGTTTTAAATTGACACCAAGAACACTCAAAAAATCCAATCTTACCGAAAGTTATGACTTTTTTAGTGAGATAGGTTCTTGAAATCTCCAAATCGGAGAATGCTTCTTCTTCTTAAATTCGTATCTTTTCCGTCCGGACTCCGAATTAGGTGATTCTTGAGTCTAAATTCATTAATTTTTCATTATGTTTCCAATGGTGTACCTGGTAGCATTCAATTCTGGGTGAAATGACTATAATACCCTTGGTCCATTTCTTATAGGATTTTAAAGTCTTTGTTCTCTTCTTGCTTCCATTGAGTCTTGGGACTTCTTAGGAAGCTATCCTTGTGTCTTAGGGGTGATGTACATCTATAGAGACCATATTTCACTTTAGCTTCCACATTCTTGAATCATTATTTGATTTTCATTCGATTTAACATAGGACGCACTGGCCTAAAAACCAAGGCCGTCACAGGTGGTATCAGAGCTCCTAGGTTCGAAAACCTTAGGACGACGGGTTTTGGGTGCATAACATGCTTTTGTTAGTGTACCTTGATTTATTAGCATACCTTTGATAACATGTTTTTGGCATTATAACATGATTACATTTTTCTTAGTGACATATTTGTTATTATGATATGTCTCTATGCTTGTATGCTTATATGTTTAAGAAGCATCCTTGTTTGACATATTGCTTAAGTGCTTAACTGTTTAAACAGCCTTCTTTGATTACTTTATCATGACCATATGTCACATACCTCATCTTGCTTCGTGTTTCTTACTTTCATCGTACGAGTTGCATTCGGTTATAATAACTTGTGTTATTGTTGACCTCTTTCATTGCATATGTTTAGCATCATGGTTGTCACACGTGGGGAGTCTTTGCGTCAGGGCGTTGAGGAGCAGGTGGACGACACCGAGTTTACAAGGGGTCTAGAGAAGCCTAGGATTCCAGTTCGTGGCATGGGTCCTAATCCACCACGAGCTCCGACTTATGAGGAGCAAATTGCACAGGGAGTGGCTTTGGGGATGTCAGAGTCCATTCAGCAGATGTTTCATCAACAGATGACAGGGATGCTGATTCTAGTACCGGTACCAGCACCGGCACCAGTTGCTAATAAGGCATTGGACTACTTTATGAAGTTACAGTGGGTTAAGACGACCAGTTTGTAGGAAGTATGGATCCGCTTGTTTCGGAGGCATGTTTTGATCTCATAGTACGCAGGCTTGATAGCATGGGAGTACCCACAGACCGATTTAGGATCTCCTTGACAGCCTCTATGTTCATGGGAGATGCTGATATCTGGTGGAGGTCTATGACCAATATCCACGATGTGGAGGTGATGACTTGGGAGGAGTTCAGGACATTGTTCTTCGACTGCTTCTTTCCGAGGGCTATGAAGTAGGATATGAGAGTGCAGTTCACAGGTCTCTATCAGGGCATGATGAGTGTCATTGAGTATGAGACATGCTTCACTTCTCTTTCCCGCTATGCACCGGAGATAGTAGCTACCGATGAGCTCAGGGCAAAGAAGTTTTAGGATGGGTTACATCTTGATATCAGGCCACGGATTTCAGTATTGGATTTGAGGACCTACGGAGAGGTGGTCCAGAGAGATATGATGGTAGGCAGAGGACCGAGATCAGAATAGGATCAAGGGATTGTATAAGCAGTCTCGTGGAGAGGCTTCATCAGTATCTACTGGCGGACTGTGGAAAAAGGCTAAGGCCGGGGACAGTTCACATACTCAGGGATAGTCACAACAAACTAGGTCTGCATCTACAGTTCCAGTATCTTCAAGGTCAGCCCGGGGAGTGATTTGCCACCATTGTCAGCAGTCGGGGCATATCAAGCCTTGCTGCCCACAACTTCAGCCACAGGCCAGTCAGTCACAGGCTAGTAAGCCTACAGCTTCGATGAAGGGGTTTCAAGGGACTTGCAACTATTGTAAGCAGACAGGTCACATAAGGAAGGATTTCCCTCATCCACGGAGTAAGGTACAGAGTGGCGCAGGTCCACAGGCCACATCGGTAAAGTCGACAGTTACACAGTCAGGTTTCAGAGTGCCTCAAGCACCATAGCCGGTTGCACCGATCAGTTCGTATCAGGTTAGGAACCCTACACCTACTGGTTTCGGACATTAATCAGCTCAGCAGGGCAGTTCTCAATAGTCAGGGGCTCAGGGACGAGTCTATGCATTGCCACAGGCCAATACCTCCGCTGGGAGTTCTATAATTCGAGGTATCTTTCCAGCTTTTAGTTCTTGGGCTAGAGTTCTTGTTGACACAGGTGCATCACATTCATTCATATCTGCATCATTTGCACATTCTTTGGGTCTGGAGGTCATGCAGCGGGATGGTTTCCTTTGTGTTGACACACCAGTTGGGGGTCTAGTATCTTTGGACCGTGTTTGTCAGGTTTGTGCTATCGAGATAGCTGGACGGACTTTAGAGTTCGATTTTATTGTTCTTGACATGGCGGGCTTTGACATCATTCTTGAGATGGATTGGTTATCCTTCTTTCGGGCTACGATTGATTACTTCAGCGGGAGGGTGTCCGTTTGCACTCCTAAGGGCGATTATTTCCATTTTGTGGGAGATCGGAGCGATTCCCACCCGGCGATGGTTTTCAGTATCAGTGATTAGAGTCGCCATAGGTCCTATTTTGCTAGTCTATTAGCCGATGAGGACAGTTGTTCAGGCCATGTTTTTCCAGCAGTTGTAGATAAGTTTCTGGATGTCTTCCCGGAGGAGTTGACAGAACTCCCTCCTCTTCGGGAGGTTGTCTTTGCCATTGATGTCATTCCCGGTACTGCCCCTATCTCTATGGCACCGTACCGCATGGCACTGGCAGAGCTTGATGAGCTGAAGGCTCAACTGGATGATTTGAAAGGTAAGGGCTTTATTCGTCCTAGTGCTTCACCCTGGTGAGCACCGGTTCTTTTTGCGAAGAAGAAGGATGGGTCTTTGAGACTTTGCATCGATTATCGCAAGTTGAATCACGCTACGATCAAGAATAGGTATCCTTTGCCTAGGATTGATGACTTGTTTGATCAGTTGAAAGGAGCGACGTGCTTTTCGAAGATTGATCTGAGATCGGGTTCTATCAGTTGAGGGTTAAGGATGAGGATGTATCCAAGACCACTTTCCGCACACGGTATGGCCATTATGAGTTCCTGGTGATACCATTTGGTTTGACCAATGCTCCAACAGCTTTCATGGATTTGATGAACCGTGTATTTAGTGACTATCTTGATAGGTTTGTGGTGGTGTTCGTTGATGACATTCTTGTGTACTCAGCTTCGAGGGAGGAGCATGAGTACCATTTGAGGACAGTATTGCAGATCCTTTGGGATAATTAGTTGTACGCCAAGTTCGAGAAATGCGAATTTTGGCTATCGGAAATAAAGTTCCTTGGACATGTTGTGTCAGGGGGCGGAGTTACAGTGGATCCATCAAAGATTAAGTCGGTGATGAATTGGGAGCATCCGAAGACAGTGTTTGAGATTTGGAGTTTTCTTGGCCTAGCCAGCTACTACAGGAGATTTGTTCGGGATTTCTCTCGTTTAACAGCACCTATGACTCGACTTACCCGTAAGGGGGTCAAGTTTGTATGGAACGAGGCATGTGAGTTTGCTTTTTAGGAGTTGAAGGTCAGGTTAACATCGACTCCAGTTTTGATCATTCCTGAATGTGGTTTGGGTTATGTGATCTTTTGTGATGCTTCACGGGAAGGTTTGGGTTGCGTCTTGATGCAGACAGAGCGGGTGGTTGCTTATGGGTCTCGATAGTTGAAGACTCATGAGTTAAACTATCCGACACATGATTTGGAGTTGGCAGCAGTTATCTTTGCCCTGAAAGGGTGGAGACACTATTTGTACGGGGAGAAGTTTGAGATTTTCTCCGATCACAAGAGTCTCAAGTATCTCTTCTCTCAGAAGGATTTGAACTTGAGACAGCGCAGATGGGTTGAGTTTATGGAGGATTATGACTTTGAGTTGCAGTACCATCCGGGTAAGGCCAATGTAGTAGCCGACGCATTGAGTAGGAAGTCACGGGGGACTCTTACTAGCATTTCCATTCACAGATAGAAGATGCTAGAAGAGCTTGTGGATCTTGGTTTATAGTGTTATGAGGATGTTTCACCGGCTATTTTGTTTAGTCTTGTGGCTCAACCGACACTTGCTAGCAGAATTATTAAGGCACAATTGGAGGATGGGGAGATAAAGGCCATCCATGCTCGGATTTCAGGCGGTGAGGATGTAGAGGGTTGGACCTTACATTCAGACGGTAATCTCAGATACAAGGGGATGATGTTTGTTCCCTTATCTTGTCGTGAGGACGTTCTTCAAGAATTTTACCACTTTTGGCTCGCAGTTCATCCTGGTGGTACGAAAATGTATCACAATCTGCGGTGACAGTTTTGGTGGCAAGGCATGAAACGGGATGTCTCACAGTTTGTGGCTCGATACCTTACTTGTTAGTAAGTGAAGGCAGAGCATCAGCGACCGGTGGGATTGTTGCAACCATTACCAGTAGTTGAGTGGAAATGGGAGCATATTACTATGGACTTCATGATGGGACTTCCAAGGTCTCAGGCGGGGAATGATGCACTTTGGGTCATAGTTGATAGGTTGACTAAGACGGCCCACTTCTTGCCTATGGCAGTGACTGACAGTGCAGAGAGATTGAGTGGACTGTATGTGAGGTAGATCATCAGGCTTCACGGGGTTCCAATATCCATTGTTTTAGATAGGGATCCGTAGTTCACATTTCACTTTTGGCAGAGTTTTCAGGAGACTCTTGATACAGGGCTTCATTTCAGCACATCATTCCATTTTTAGACTGATGGCCAGTCGGAGCGCACCATTCAGATATTAGAGGATATGTTACGGGCTTGTATCTTGGATTTTGGGGGTAGTTAGGAGGACTACTTACCCTTGGTTGAGTTTGCCTACAACAACAGTTACCAGACCAGTATTGGCATGGCACCTTTTAAGGCGTTGTATGGCAGACCTTACAGATCTCCAGTTTGTTGGACCGAGGTCGGTGATACCATTGCCTTGGGTCCCGACATTGTTATTGAGACTACGGAGAAAATCAAGTTGATTCGGCAACGGTTGGCTACCGCACAGAGCAGACAGAAGAGTTACGCTGACAGACGGAGGCAATCCTTGTCTTTTGAGATAGGAGACCATGTCTTTCTCAAGATTTCTCCATGGAAGGGACTTCCGAGATTTAGACAGACTGGCAAGTTGTCTCCTAGGTTCATTGGACCATTTGAGATTTTGGAGCGCGTCGGTGAGGTTGCTTATCGTTTGGCGTTACCGCTAGACCTAGATAGGGTTCACGACGTCTTTCATGTTTCTAAGTTAAGGAAGTATGAGCCGGACCCATCACCTGTTCTATGGTGGACAGATGTGGTGGTTGATGAGGACGCGACCGACGAGGAGGGTCCAGTCCAGATTCTTGATTCACTGGAGCAGGTCTTGCGGACCAAGACCATTCTATTGGTTAAGGTCTTATGGAGACACCACGGCATTAAGGAGGCTACCAGGGAGCTCGAGCAGGAGGTTCGCTCTCGGTGCCCCCATTTGTTTTCTCTTTCAGGTACAACACGATTTCGGGGACAAAATCTCTTTTAAGGAGGGTAGGTTGTAATGACCCGATCATTTCCCTTTCTTTTCATTTTCGGCAATTTCTTTTTTTTTTCGTCTTTTCCCTATTTCGTCCTTTTGCCATTTTTCATTTTTCCTTGCATAATCCCACTTTTTGTGCTTGGATTTGACTCCGTCTTTGCATACATCCATAATATTAGAATTCTAGGATATCTACATTTGCATTTTTGTAGAAAAGTATGTTAAATGTTCACTTCCCTTGTAAAGAGCATAAATGCATAACTTTTGGTAATTTCCTTAAACTTGGGGGGGTTTTTTGTAATTAAGTAAAGTAATTATTTTTCGTCTTAGGGACCATTTTGTAATTTAATTTGAAAGATATTTTCAAAAAGGATTTTTTTGCAATTTCCAAAAATATGACAAGTGTCATATTCCTAAGGTGCCACTTGTTGGCTCGATTGTGAAACCACTTGGAGCCATTATCCCTTAACACATGGAGGGTAGATATTCACCCATTTTTTGGCCTAGGATTGGAGTACATGTTGACTTAGATTCATGACAAGTGTAGGCTAGGGATTTAGTATAGGGAGACACCTTGGATTCATGACAAGTGTAAGCACAAGGTTAAGTCTTACAAGTGTGTGTGTGAGAGGTAGTGCAAGAGCACCTAGTGAGTGGAGAAGCCCACCACCTTATTTAACTTAAGGTTTGTATTTCTTCTTGCATATTTCATCTTTTCCTCTCAAACCCTAACTTGACCACCATTAGAGCAAGCTTGAGTCATGGTTTAAAGCTTCATTTTGGTGCCCTTCCATTTGCCTTAGATCATTGAGCTTGGAATACAAAAGCCTTGCCTCATCATCATCTTTATAACCCTAGAAGGAAAACTTAAGATTCCTTTGCTTTCCTTGGATTCAAGAGGAACAATCCTCTTGTGAGGTAGGGGGTGTTATTATTTATCTTTCAAGTAATTTAATTGTTCTTATAGTGATATCCAAGTTATCTACATGTCTTGTATGGAAATAAGAAATAAATGACTAATTGTAACTCGTATGAAATTCACTTTAGACTTGATAAATGGCATGACCATGACTTGATCTTTGTTGTGTATTAAATTGGCATGATTTAAATGAGCTTTTAAAGCTAGAGGACTAATTGATTTATGTTGATTTAAATTCAAATTAATTATACCATGCTTGTAATTCATTTGTGACTTGATATAAAGCATGGCCATGAATTACTCCATGTCATATATTAAATTGGAATAATTTGGACAATTCTTGAAATCTAGAGAAATTACCTAGTTGGTCTACTTAATTTCTACCATGTTAAACTAGTGATTTAGTCATGTAATCCATGGAACTCATTGTGCTTTATCACATATCATGACTTGTTGCTCTACTTATTGATTTTGGAAACTTGCGATATTATCAAGAACATGACTAGGCTAGGACTTGGTTCTAGTACGGGGGATTGTCCCTTTACAACTATAGTGCGCACTAGGGGAAGGTACCCATGGGTTAATAGCCCTAAAGTGATCTCAAGAGTACGGTTTTAATCCGAGCAATATCCAAGTATCCACTTTGGCTTGATTTCGCATTAAAATTCCAAGTTGTTAACTTTGTGAATTTACATCTCATTGTGTTATGTTGAAAGTTCTATTGTCACTTGATAACATGAATTAAATTGTATTGGATTGCAAACTTGGTACAAAGATAAACCCATGCATTCCCTATGAGTAAACTTGTTTACTTACCCCTAAGTTACTGGGTGTTTTTCAGGTAAGGAAGCCATAACGTGGGATGCACAACAATCTTAGACTTGCTAGACTACTTGGAGTATTTTTTTTTTTTGCTATGTTAGAATATGCACATGTTAGCATATCTTGTTCCATTTTGCTTACTATGTTAAAAACTTGTATTTAATGTTCAGGTCATGTAATGTGTACTTAAGTACACCTTTGCTACTCTATATATGTTTATTGTAATGAGGCCAAGGGCCAAAGATACTTTAAGCTATGTATGCTACTTAATTTTCATACTATGTTTATGAAGTATGTGAAAACTCATCCATTGAAGGGTCAAATTTTGCATATAATATGCCATGAGGCCGTAGGCCATTCTAGCGCGTTTGAAACATCATTTTACATATGCGTGCATGTTCATATATTGAAAAATACATTGATTCCAACTTTTGAGTTATTTATGGATGATTTATGAGAATTTAAGCAAAAACTCATACATTGAGCATCATTCAAGATTTTCTTGCAACTTAGCATGCAATGGTTGTTCAATTAAGGTTCAAAGATGTTTTGAAGCATGTTTGAATCATTTGGGAAGCATACAAAACCTTAGAATTGATCCTAGCATCCTTCCCTTGGATCACAGTGAGTTGCAGCAGAGTTTGTGGCAGCAGCAGGGTCCATCGGTTGGTTAATGGCAATCATCGGTCGACTGATGATGGTCTCGTAGCATTCCAGTAGCCATTTTAGAAAAAAATGAGCTATCAGCCGGCTGATGATTGGGGTTCAGCCGGCTAACGATTGACTTTCAGTCCGCTGATGATGGAGGTTCAGCCGACTGATCCTCCCTGATGCATGGTTCATTTCTAGCATCTCGGACAGAACTTTTGGGTCAACTTCAGAGGGCCATAACTCATTCATTTCTAATCCAAATTAGGTAATTCTTGAGCCTAAACTCAAGAGCTTGAAGTTAGCTTTCCATTGAAACCAAGAAACTCAAAAATTCCAATCGTACTGAATGTTATGACTGTTTTAGTGAGATAGGTTCCTGAAATCTCCAAATCGGAGAATGCTTCTTCCTTAAATTCATATCTTTTCCGTCCGGACTCCGAATTAGGTGATTCTTGAGTCTAAATTCATTAATTTTTCATTGTGTTTTCAATGGTGTACCTGGTAGCATTCAATTCTGGGTGAAATGACCATAATACCCTTGGTCCATTTCTTATAGGATTTTAAAGTCTTTGTTCTCTTCTTGCTTCCATTGTGTCTTGGGACTTCTTAGGAAGCTATCTTTGTGTCTTATGAATGATGTACATCTCTAGAGACCATATTTCACTTTAGCTTCTGTAGTCTTGAATCATTATTTGATTGTCATTTGGTTTAACATAGGACGCACTGGCCTAAAAACCAGGGCCGTCATACCATATGCCCCGAAACAAGTTGATAAACATTCCCTAACTTCATACAAGCATCCATAACATGCTAAATCAAAAGGAAACTTTAAATCATATCCCAATGCATGAATTTTGCATAAAAATTTATAAGTCACCCAAAAATAGTTCCAAAGTCAAAACTTAAGAGTTTTGTGAGATGTAAACATGCACGTAAACGTAAAATCAGATTTAAGACGTGTCCAAATGGTCTGTGGCCCCAAAATACCCCCAATGCAAAATATGACCTATCAAACCACAATTTCGCATAAAATGTCATTTAAAGAGAAAACTTGCAACAAATAGACCTAAATGCATTCAAAAGATCATTTAGCCCTTGGCCACATGTCATACATAATAAATGAGTCCTAGTGGAAGTGCTCGTGCACACTTTGCACCACCCGATTTGAAAATGAACCCTTAAAGGCTCGGATTTTCCTATGTTAGCCTAAAAATGCAATATATGAAACTAAAATGTAAACCTTAAAACAAAATGGTGTTTGGCCCTTACCCACACCTTATATATGGTAAATGAATGCTAAATGATGAATTTCATACACAATGCACACTCTAGTGCAAAAATGACATATTAAAACCCTAGTTTTTCATATTATTTCCATTTAAGGCAAATTAAAACATTTATGAATATACATGGATTTCAAAAGAAGTTTGGCCCTTGGCCACATATCACAAACATAGAATTAGTGTCAAAAAGTGTGCTTAGGCACATATTACAAGTTCAAGGCAAAAATGACATTTTTTACCTAATTATGTATTACAACTTCAATGTAAAACTCAAACATGCTAACACTTGCATGTGAACAAGAATATACTTAAAAGAACTTCAATTCGACAAAATAACCTAGGGATATTGTCCATCCCAAACCAAGGCTCCGTACCTGAAAACAGCCCGATAACTTTAGGGTGAGTAAACAAGTTACTCGTAGGGAATGAGCATGCATAGACATAACATTTTACAAGGTTATCACATTAATGCAAAACAATTCAAAAGGGTCATGCCACCTAGCGTTTATGTCAAAGGTGAGACTTAAGGAGCATCCTAAGCTACCTTAGATCTTTTCTAGCATAAATTACATCATTTATGAAATTTAAACAATATAAAAGCATGTTATACAAAACAACAAGATATAGATTCTCAAAACCATCAACTTGAAATCTGAAATGCAAAATCAACTAATATGGTTCATACCACCAAATGTCCATGTTCTAAATGAGTCTAAGGAATCATTCTAGGCTATATTAGAACAATAAAACACAAATCACAATATCGATGCAATTTAACCAATATTGAACTCCCAATACCATGCATAAAGCATGATTTCTCAAAGTTTAACATCTTGAAACTAAAAACGGGAAATCAAATAAGGAACACCAAGTTATAACATCATCTAGTAATCAATTTGAAATAAAATGCGAAATCAAACAAGGAGGATACTAGGACATCACGCCAGATCAGACCGACAACATGGTTACTTTAGGGTTACTAGCCCACAAGTAACCTCCCTATGTGCGCACCAGACTGTAGTTATACAATGACGTCCCAAGTTTTCAGAATCAATAAATTATGCAACAACGTATATATATATATCAACATGTATATACAAGATATTAACCATCTACCATGCACAATTAAATTTTTGGAAACACACAACACATACTCTAAGTCCATAACTACTATTGCATGACAAATGTCGAATCTTCAGAGTGTGATTCGTTACATGCTATAATAAAATCACATGTCAAATCTTCAGTGTGCGATTCGTTACACGCTCTGACAATATCATTTAATATTGAGAACATAAATTCATGAATCTAATACAAATTTAAAATCATGATTTAAACATATAACCAACATCAAATACATAATTAAATCATGTATGTAATCTTTCAAATTTCAGATCTTGCTCCTTGAGAGAGTGTTGTAATCTTTCAATTGCATGGGCCATAGTCGTCAATTGCTCTTCATACGAGGTAGTACTTGTCATCATGACTGGCATAGTGATGGAGTCAGAAAAAATCTTTGGCCTTGGGTGGACTAGCCTTGAACTTGTGACTGGAGCAACCTTTGAGGTTGTAGGAACCTTCCTCCTTGCCCCCAGCGAGGTGGAACTTGAACTTGTGACTGGAGCAACCTTTAAGGTTGTAGGAACCTTCCTCCTTGCCCCCAGCAAGGTGAAGGCGGTATGAGTTTGAGTTGTTACTTTAACAGATTTGGCAGAATTGACTTTCATCGCATCGTGTTGTCTTTTGGCAGGAACGGATGATTTGACCATGCTCCACATAATTGAACTTGCAGAGGTGTTTGTACCACTTGACGAAGTTGTAACCTTCTTGCCACCTTTTGTGATGGTATTGATGTTGTCCGTCATGACCGCGATATCTTTGGTGGTATTCTTGCTCTTTGTTTGAATCTTATTGGAAGTCATAGAATCTGACGATGAATTTGTTGAGAATTTGATATAGGAGAAAGAGATGAGAGGCAGAAGATGTCCCACCGGGTGTGCCAGAAATTTGTACACACAAATTTTGTAATCTGAATAATAAGAAACAAAATATGGGCAAAATAAAAATTTTATTAATTTGTGAATTTGGAGTACAATCCTTTGTGATATCTTTTACAAAAAGAATGGTCCTCTAATTCGATCTCCTTTTTGGTTGGTTGGATCCAAGTGCTGCACGAGCTTCTTCTTGAATCACCTTGGAATTTGATGAAAAACGGCACGTCGTTGGATGTGCTTGTTGTTGATCATCGTGGGATTTAATGAAGAACGGCACGTTGTTGGATGTGCTTGATGTTCTTCGCTTTTGGGTTTGGATTCTGAATTTGTGTCTCTGACTTCTGAGTCTCTGGACTTCTGAATTCTGAATCTCTGGATTTATGGACTCTGAATTTGTGTACCTGAATTTCTAGACTTCTGAATTCTGAATTTGTGTCCTTTGTTGAATTTGAGGAAGAACGGCACGTCTTTGGATGTGCTTGTTGTTCTTCGTCTTCAGAGAGAAGAGAATTTGTTGAATTTGGTGAAGAACGGCACGACTTTGGATGTGCTTGGTGTTCTTCGCCTTCAGGTTCGGGATTTTTGGCCCTCTGGATTTCTGATTCTCTCAATTTCTGGACCTTCTGAGTCTCTGGATTTCTGGTCTCTGAATTTGTGTGTCCCTCATTCTTCCTCCAGGCCTCTATTTATAGGCTTCTTGGGTTGATAGGATGATGACACGTGTCATCTCCTGATAAGGATAAAATTATAACTGGGCCGGACCGGTTATATTATGATAATTATCCTAAAAAATAATTATTCCAAATATATTTTATTAGGAATAATTATCTGTTTATTTAACCATCTGTGTTGGGCTAATTAAATAATTTAAATGGACCAAGCTTGGGCCAATTAAATAACTTAATTAAACATTAAGCCCATAATGGGTCAATTTGTCAAAACCAAAGCCCACTAAATTTTTAGTGTCTACACCCACCATTTGGAGTCACTAAAAGGATAATTTTTCTGGCCAATATCTGGGCGTCCGAACAGGGTCGATCTCAATTTCTTCCACATTATGTTGCGGGATAATATATTATGTGTGCCCGGTGCACCATCAAAACCGTCCATTCCCGTGCGTGCAATGCATGAATGGTTCTAATATGTCCGGTGCATGGTGCACCAGACACACCGAATACCTCTTGTGATTGGAACTTATTAATAATGACTTTTGCTTCATATTAGTTATAGTTGGGTACTAGTGTTAACAGATTTATAAAAATGACTTAGAAAAACGGTTATTGTACGCAAAGAATGAAAATTGGGAATTAAATACTCTTTCACTTCATGTTCGTCATTCAACTATTATCATAGTAATATAATTGCTACCTACCTTATTTGGTGAAATCAAGAAAAACTATGTTAAAATAATGATCTTGAAACAAACTAATTGTCCCACCAAACAGTTGTCCAAAATTAAGGTCGTGCATCAAGGCTGTAAAGATAGTTCTCAATTTGTTGTTCAATCTATTATTTGGGATGTTCTAGCATACCTCAATATTAGATTAGAGGATTTATTGATTGATTTCTCTCCTTCTTTATGATGTTTCTGAGAAAGTGGCACTCAAGTTGCTAAAGAAGCCTGGCTGTGCATCAGGTTGACAGGTTTTATTTGGATTGGAAGGCCATGACACATGCTCTCTTATGTTTTTGTGACAAGAATTATCAAGCAGCTGGAAACTTGGTTTTTTAGTCTGTTTAGGTTTTCTTTGTTGTGCTCTGTAATTGGACTTAGTCCATTTTTTTGTTTCTGCTGGAGATTGATCTCCCAGTTGTAATTGTACTCCTTTTTGTTTATATAAAAAGAAAAGAAAAAAAAAATACCCCATTCAGGAAAAAAAATAATTAAGGTCCTGTTTGGTGGTGGTGTTATTTTCATAAAAGTGTTTTAAGACAAAATTTGTTCTTTTGCATTGTTGTTAAGAGAAACACATAGAGGGCTGGTGACTAAGGCGGTCGCCTAGGGCCTCTGATTTGGCCCAATTTTACTAAGACTTCATGAAAAATAAAACTACTAAGGCCCAAAGCTTGAAAAGTCACACTTGAGCCCAACAGACTTATACAAAATTCAGTAATAATTGATCAATAACAACAGGAAGAAAAAACAAGATAGTAGCATGTAATGTTAATGTGACAGTGTGACACTAATTTTTTTTTTGGTCACTTGTGACACTAATTACTAATATGGAATATAATACATATTAGTTAAAACAAATACAGTTATCAAATTATATAAATTTGACATATACTACGTTGTTATTCAACTAAATAAATAAATAATAATTAGACTAACAACCAAAGAAACAATTAATTGATTCAACTTAAAAAAAAGAAGAAACAATTAATTGAATTAGCCTTTCCAAAAAAACAATTCATTGAATTAGATGAAAAAAAAAGTAAAAAAAGAAAAACCAATGGCATACCAAAAGTAGTCCACATTGTGGAGATTACCAACACCATCGGAGCACAACCATTCACCCCGTCGACCGGACACTCCATAAAGAAGAAGAAAGATGGAAAAATTATATATATTATGCCACACCATGATGCTTCTTTTTCTACTTTGTTGTTAAGTACTTATAATATATTTCATGAAATATTGTCGAATATATCTTAGTATGATTAACAACAAATTGAATTTTATTGCATGAAGACAGATAGGAAGTGGTATAGTCGAAACTTAAAAATCAATGTCATGGTAAACGTTCTTCATCTAATTATTCTTTTTTTTTTTTTTTTCTTCTTCTAAATTACTCTTTGATTTATATTTTCTGATAATATTGAATATGTACACTATTTATTGGTGGTGATAAATTTATTATTATTGGTTGGTTGTTATATGCAAACTGTACTGGCACACAATTATTTGTTAGTGGTGATAAATTTATAATTATTAGTTAGTTGTCTCATGACACTACATATGCGCACAATTATTTATTGACGATGAACACAATTATATTGTTGTGTGCTAAATTTTGGTTGAATATATTACTTGTTGAAATTGAAAACATTGTGTGAATATATTTTATGTACTCATCGTCTATAATTTTTTTATTTTAATTTCTTTTGCATGTGAAACTTTATGTGTGAAGGGTCTTAAATGTGAGAATTCGCCTAGGACCTCTCAAAATTTTGAGTCTTAGGGCCACCCTAAAAGCATGTATGGTGATGTAAAAATTCTTACAGTGAAAAACAAAACAGAAAGAAGCAGAACACGTTTGACATAGTAAAATTTCCTTTCAATGACTTCTGACTTAAACGGTGGCATGCTTACAAAAATTTCTTGTTTTTCTTCGTCTTCTTCATTGATGTTAAATGATACAACATGTATTGCAGTGTGGAGAGGGACGTTAGTCTTTTACACATTAAGTTGTGCTATTGAAAGACTTGGACTTCTTTCTCCCTCTTTGAATCCTGAAAATGGACCACCCTAGATATTTTACTCCTAGAATAAATTTAGTCCACATAAAAGGATAATTAATCAATATATGACATAAACATTTCATGTTATCTAGGGCATATATATCTCTCTTCTTCTTCTTCTTCTTCTTCTTTTTTTTTTTTTTTTTCTTGGGTCCATTTTCTAATGGAAAATAAAGCAAATTGGATAATTTACAAGTCCTTTACAAAACCATATGATGGTATGTTTGGAAGTACCGAATTGACTCATTAGATTAGAAAAAATTTAATACATATTTTGCCCAACTCTTTTTTTCTAGAGGTGAATTAACCAATTAACCGACTTCTTATACAATTTATAACTCATCTCACAAATTCACTTAATTTAATTACAATGTAATGCAATTTCAATGAGACTTGCATGTTGCTATGTTTAGGTGTATCTAATCAGCTTCTTGGATTTAAAATTAAAGAAATTTAGTTAAAACTCTAAACTAAGTTTTCTTCAATTTTAAATCAAAAGCACCCATTCATTGCTCTAAAAACGCAACATGATAACAATTTATAATTTGTTTATAATTAGTGTTGTGATTACAGTGACACAAAATATATTATATTAAATAGACAATCATATTTGAAATATGTAATTATTATGAATAGAATAATTCAATAAAACAAAATTTGTCTACTTAGGTCATCCTTATTAACCGCGGAATCATTCCTCAAGGTGAAAAAAAAAAAATTTGTCATTCGTCAAGGACTTTCCCAATATGACTAGTTGAGAGAAACTTAGGTCCTATTAGGAATTGGTCAGAGCATTTAAATATGTTGGGCACTTAAAAATGTTATACATATATATTGAGATTAGAGCCAAGAGACTAGAGAAAGTCTCATCTTTCAAACCAAGATTATGTTCTCTCTTAGAATTTTCACCAAGGCTCCGTTTGGTTAGATAAAAATAAACAAGAAAAAAAAAGAAATAGAAAATGAAAGAAAAGTGAAATGAATGAAAAGAAAAGTTATTTTCTGATAAGTATTTGGTTAACATGAAAATTTATTTAGGGAAATTATATGAAAATATTAGTTTATTAGTTTGGATAGCATGAAAATGAAAAGAAAGTAATTGTGCATACCAAAATTACCCTTATGATTTCAAATACTAAAAAAATAAATAAATTTGTGTTTGATGATGTCTATTTTTATCAAAGTTTTAATAAAATGATAAATTATTAAATTTTAATAATATAATTATTTATATTATTTAAATTAAAACAATACTTCAAGACTTCTTAGGCAAAACCGTAGAAGTACCGTAGAAGTAGAAGTTGTAAAACTATCTATTCATTTAAGATAAATAAGGAAGTTTAAAAATAAAAATAAAAAAAAAATTTAAAAAATTTGGGCTCATGGACTGATAGGCTTTCAACAAGAGTACAGAATATTTTTCTCTCTATATATAATAGAGGTGTATAATATATCTTATACAATGCTTGGAATCCCAAAAAAAAAAAATCGTCCAAATAGTATTTTGCAAGAGAACATGTTTAAAGAGAAGTTGTTTTCCAGAAGTCCACTAAAATAGAAATTGTTATAGAACTTGCCTCTTTGAAACTTATTAGAAAAGAAACTCAATTAGAAAATAAAAAAGTTAATTATTTAATATGATTCAGTTGTTGGATAAAATAGGAACTTCAAATAAAAAGAAACAATTTTCACGAGAAAATATTATTTCCCCATATTTTGTGTGAGAAAAGTTTTGGAAGAAATAGTCTAATGCGGAAACTATATTTTCTATTACAATTCAATTTCCATCTATCTAAACTCTAAAAAAATTTAAAAATTTTCTCTTTCCTTTCTTTTCTAATTGATTTCATCTAAACAAACGAAGTCTAAAAGACTCGAGAAATTCTCAAATTTCAATCCGCAAGTGAATGTTCGCTCTTATGAAAACTCTCTACTAAGATTGCTCTTACTCCTTTTTCTTTTTCCTTTTTTTAAATGCCATCTTCAAGCCTTAGGTTGGTAGGAACTTATTTTGAGATGTGAGCAAACCCTGGTTCTTGTGTATAAAGATTCATGGTATATACTTAAGATCACATACTTTCTACTACACCCACTTATATATATACAAGTGTCTTGGAAATATCAATCTCAACTTACACTTTTGTTATCTCCAATTTCATGGGCTTAAGACATTTAGTTGGGTTAGTGGTGAGGATACATTGGGCTTACTAACCTTTTGGATTCAATGAATTAATAATTCACACCAGCCCATTAAACCATGGACTCAATTAATTAATTAATTGATTAATCTTAGCTTCATTAAATGAAATTAATTACACTCCAATCGAATCTTTGGTTGAAGACCTGTCAATGCTTAATTAACTATTAGATAAATAAATGTCAATAATTCGATAGCTTTATTAATTTATTTGTTTTGACACCTTGATTATTTTGTATTTGATCACATAAAATATTTATTTGATAAAATAATGTATTTATGAATTAAATTATATGACCAACGGGTTAGTGGTCTAGCGATATCAGCTTCTTACTTCTCAAAGGGAGGTCAGGGATTCAAGTCTCAAAAGAGATAAGTGTGTGTGAGTACCAATTAAAGAAAAAAAAAAAAAAATTATGAAAAACACGCAGAGCCCTCCGAATTCGGTTGTGATAAAAAAAAATTCTGAGTCAAAATAACTGTAATAGTATCGATGCAAATTTTGAAACAAGCTACTAATTAATAATTACCCAAAGTACTATATATTAGACCCATAGACCCCGCTGAGTAAATAGAAGTAATCATTAATCAATACAAGAATTTATACTTCTCTTATGCTTAAATTATATGCGACGACTCTCACAATAGTCTCAACTTATTATTGATGGAACTTATCTCTTCATTGATATAGAGTTCATCAGTTATCACCAAATATCAACCATTTATGATGACACAATTTTTTGCGGTTTATATTTTCCTGTAACATGAACATCATAACATACATATAAATTACTTGTGTAGTAAAGTGGACAAAACCAATTCTAATACCGAATTGAACTAATACATAACATTTATATATAAAGCATTTATTAAATTTGAAAAGAGATATCACATCCATTTAATAGTACAAACACACCGTTCCGAAACTAAATTCAGTTATGAAGAGGGCACAGAGATGGAGCCAGGATTCTGGTTTGGGGGAACCGAAATTTGAAAATTTTAAAAATCAATTATAATATAATTTATATATGTATGTATACAAAATTAGTCTCAGTGCCTATACATATAATTATATATGGAGGAAAATGTAATCCAGAGTATTAGAAAATAAAATCTAAATAAATAGAGATGTAAAAATGCAAAGAGAATTGGTGTAAAAAAAATATTATTAAAAATTAATTTTTCTCAAGTAACTGTTTCAATTTTTGAAAAAAAAAAATGAGTATTTTAATTGCACTTCAAGGTTTATCATTATCATCTTGACGAAAGATTAGTAAAAAAAAATTGTACTAATTTAATTAAACAAAATCTGGCAAGTTTTTATAGAAAGCGATTATTAGGAAAAAAATAAATAAGTACTTTAATAACCTATACAAATAAATACAATTTTTATTTTTAACAAATGGCACCTAAAAATGTTGTTACACACATTTTTGTTAATTTTAGATATTTAATTTTTTAACAAGAAAGGTTCATGTATCTTTATTGAATATCATATATAATCAATATTATAAATGTTTGTGTGTATATATATATGTATATATGCAAATGCAAATATATATAATAATTACGTGTTGCATTAAGAACTACGAACTTAGATAAGACTAAACACGGTTGGTTAAAATTAATCTGAGTTTTGAAAAAACATAGATAAGGCTAAAAAGGTTTAATTAAAATTACTATGAATTTTGAAAATATATAAGTTATACTTATTTCCAAACTTATTATAGTTGAGGCCAGCAAATAGTTTTTTTTTTATAAAAAAATTGGGGGGCCAAATATGGGATTTATTTACAAAATAACAATTTGTAAGGGCTATTAACAAAATTTTTAAAATTTTGGGGGGCCGTTGAATTTTTTTTATAAACTTTGGGACCAATATATGGTATTTATTAACAAAATAATAATTTGTTTATTAACAAATATTATGATTTTTTATTTTTTTTGGGGGGGGGGGGGGGGGGGCATCTCCCTCCCCCGGGCTAAGAGATCGCAAATAATCGAAATATATTATGAGAACGCAAACGCGATGAGCTGAAGTGAATTGAAGAATCTTGTGAAATATATATATATATATATATATATATATATATATATATATATATATAGGGCTCAATGGCGACCCAATCAAGGCACAAGGCAACGTTTGGGTGAAGTACAAACGATGTTTGAGTAAAAAAAAAACATAGAACCAGGGAACGTATGGTGTCGCTTATATTTTTCCAACGCCCCCTTAGCAATCAAAAAAACAAATTTAAGCTATAAAATTTATGGTTTCTGCCCCCTTGCGATGGAAAGAAAGAGCAGAAATAGGGAAAAAATAAAGGGATGGGAATTTTTGTGAGTAATGTATTTCCGACCCCATTAGTGGTGGTCGGAATTGAGCCAACTTTCCAACGCCCCCCATTTGGAGTCACTAAAAGGATAATTTTTCTGGCCAATATATATTTGGGCGTTGAAACAAGGTCTCAATTTTTTCCACATGACATGAAAACCAAAATAAGAATGAGGAAGAAAAAAATATTATGTTGTAGGATAATATATTCAGTGTGCCCGGTGCACCATCTGAATCGTCTATTCTCGTGTGTGTAGTGCTTGAATGGTTTTAATGTATTCGGTACATGGTGCACCGAGCACACCAAATACCTGTTGTGATTGAAACTTATTAATAATAACTTTTGCTTCGTATTAGTTATGGTTGGGTACCAGTGTTAACAAATTTATGGAAATAACTTAGAAAAACGGTAATTGTGCACAAAGAATGAAAATTGGGAATTAAATACCCCTTCACTTCATTTTTGTCATTCAACTATTATCATAGTAATATAATTGCTATCTACCTTATTATATTACTATTATCATAGTAATATAATTTCTTCATTGATATTAAATGATACAACATGTCTTGGAGTGTGGAGAGGGATGCAAGTCTTTTACACATTAAGATACGCTATTGAAAGACTTGGACTTCTTTCTCTCTCTTTGAATCCTGAAAATGGACCACCCTAGATATTTTACTCCTAGAATAAATTTAGTCCACATAAAAGGATAATTGATCATTATATGACATAAACATTTCATGTTATCTAGGGCATATATCTTTTATTTTTTTTTTTTGGGTCCATTTTCTAATGGAAAATAAAGCAGATTAGATAATTTACAAGTCCTTTACAAAAATATATGATACTATGTTTGGCAGTACCGAATTGACGCATTAAATTTGAAAAATTTTAATACGTATTTTGCCCAACTCTTTTTTGTAGAGATGAATTAACCAATTAATCGACTTCTTATACAATTTATAACTCATCTCACAAATTCACTTAATTTAATTACAATGTAAAGCAATTTTGGGCGGGGTCAAGGTCTTTCCCAATATGACTAGTTGAGAGAAACATAGGTCGTATTAGGAATTGGTCAGAGCATTTAAATATGTTGGGCACTTAAAAATGTTTGGCAGAAGTCACATTGAAGACTTTTCAAATAGGAAAATATACACATGAAGACTTTTAAGTTTTAACATTAACTAGCAAATTTAATTGGATTCACTGCGTACTTGACCGGTTTTGATTGATTTCGACCCACTATCATACTTGACCCGTTTTTAATGCCAAATTTCTCAGCTACTAGCCTCTATAAAAGGAACGAAGAATATGCAATATTATACATCTTGCATTTAAAGAAAATAGCAAAATTGGTTATAATTACTTCTTCATCTCTTCGATCTCAATGGCTATTTTCTATGAATTACTACTACTTGGCGTATTGTTGCCTATCATACACAATGCAGGTGCACAATTCATAGTTACTAATTTTCTCGCAATTATGCAACTTCTTAGGATTCATGTTAACATCATTTATGTAACCCAAGTGTGATTGTAGTACACCCTAATTTAGGATACCGAGCCTTGTGATATAGGCCACGTTGCATGGCGTAATATTAACACACACGAGAGATAGAGTACATATATACATATATGGTCATGCTTGTGCTAACCATTTATTTATTTATTTTTTAATCTCTACTTACAATTTTCCTCTAGCTTATACAATGTTGGTTATAATGTGTTTTCTCCAATTAATAAACTCCATACACATGCAGGTGCACAATCCATAGGTGTTTGCAATGGACGACTTGGCAACAATTTGCCATCGGAGCAGGAAACTGTGGACTTATACAAATCCAATGGCATTGGAAGGATGCGAATATACGATCCAAACCAAGCAACTCTGCAGGCACTCAGAGGATCCAACATAGAACTCATTCTCGATGTTCCGAACGGGAAACTTCAAGAGCTTGCATCCGATGCTTCAGCTGCAACTCAATGGGTCCAGATGAATGTACAAGCTTACTCTCCCGATGTAAAGTTCCGATACATTTCTGTGGGAAATGAAGTAGATCCCAACACTGAAAATGCTCAGTATGTTCCGTTCGTTCTCCCCGCCATGAAAAACGTCCACAGTGCGATTGTAGCAGCCGGACTACAAGACCAAATCAAGGTTTTGTTGGCTTTGGTCTAATACTACTTTGATAAAAGAGTAGTGATCGAATTTGGTAGTTACCGAATTCAAATTATGTGAGGAGTTATAAGTTTCATCACATCATGTCATGATCATATGATAGAAGCGACCACCTCTCTCACATAAATTGAATTCTAAGTGCCCAATAATTAGAGGGCATAATTATATAGCTTCAAAGACTTTTATCTGACCAATTACGTATAAATGCTCAATTACTCTTATTACTTCACTGACATCACTTTTAGTAATCCTAATTTCCATTGTCTTTTGGTTGTATATTACTTCCACCATTTTCTATCTCTACTTTTCCATGGTGGAATTTTTAGAATGACCTGCTTAGCTTTCATTTCACCTCTCACCATCAAATGAATTGTGAATAACCCGTCAATCTTCTCTTGGAAACAAGGGGCACTTCCGGTTATGTGGGTGCTTGAAACAATTTTGTCTTATCCAATATTGTATAAGATAGAGTCGGACACATCCAACTAAAATTATGTAAGTAAAAATGATGTCATGATGATATTATCATATTTAAGGTGATGTTATCCCCACTTACATAAAACAATCAATATATGACTTTCGGACTACTTATCAATATTCAAACAATCGGATACATCCGACTTTTGGACCAATTATCATTATTCTTATCTTTAATCCATACGCATCTATCATGGATACCAAAAACTTGAAAAGACTGGATACTAAAATCAAGTCTGTTTTCCCACAGGTTTCGACAGCAACGTACTCCGGACTTTTGGGCACCTCTTACCCTCCATCAAATGGGGCATTCCAAGACAACGCAAGGTCATTCATGGAGCCAATCATCAGCTTCCTTGCTAGCAATACTGCCCCATTACTTGCCAACATATACCCTTACTTTGCCTATATTGATAAACCCCAAGACATTCAGCTTCCTTATGCCTTATTTACTGCACCAGGAGTAGTTGTAACCGACGGTTCATTAGGATATCAAAACCTTTTTGATGCATTGTTGGATGCCATGTACACTGCCGTTGAGAAGGTAGGTGGACATAATTTGGAGATTGTGGTGTCGGAGAGTGGCTGGCCGTCTGAGGCTGGCACTGCAGCAAGTGTGGAGAATGCAAGCACTTACTACAGAAATTTGATTAATCATGTCAAGGGTGGGACTCCAAAGAAGCCAGACAGGGCTATACAAACCTTCTTGTTCGCCATGTTTGACGAGAACCAAAAGCCTGGGAAGGAAACGGAGAAACATTTTGGCCTGTTCAGTCCTAATAAGCAGCCTAAATACCAAATTGCTTTCAGTTAAAATACTGATGAATATGAAAAATGAAGGAAAATTTAAAGTAGCGAGCTAAATTATATATATATATATACATATGTATCGATGAATAAGAATGGCTTGTGCTTATATAGCTTGAACATTGTTTACCTGGAAAGAGAATGTCTTGGGTAAGGCATGCCTGTGATCTCTATTCTATCTTATCAATTAATTTTCGTCTTTCTGTTTGTTTATTTAAGGAAGCTATGTAATATAAGATTTGTATGGAGGAGCAAAAATTAATAAAAGAGACATTTTAATTTTACACATGCTGTCTTTATCCTTCGTGGTATTTTATTTTAAATATTCAAAAGGCTAACAGTCAACGATGAACTGGAAATGATGCTAATGTTTTGGCTAACAGTCAACGATGAACTGGAAATGATGCTAATGTTGTGGCTAACAGTCAACGATGAACTGGAAATGATGATAATGTTGTTGGGGCTAAGGTAGAAATAATGGCAATCAGTTGTTCTCAAAGGTGAAGATTATTAATTTTGGAGTGTTAAAACGAGAACGTTGTTTCTCTCTCTTGATTTGTGGTAATTAGTTGAGAATGGCTATACTAAATATGATAATCAGAAAGAGAATAATGGTTGCACAAGGAAAACGAGAAGAATGATGCTAATGCTATTTGGATTATGTGTTCTAAAAGTCAATTATTTATTTTTAATATTTAATTTTTTGTTAATAAATGTGATTTATTATTAAATATAATATTTATGCATTGGGTTTATTATACCTTGGCATTGTTTGCAGGATACTTTTATCAGTAAGATTGTAACACACTTGACTTCTATGAGATAGAATGATTTGTCTTAATAATTGGGATAGTTGACTCTAAATCAGTGTGTTAACTAGTATGCTTAGAGTACATTAATTAACTGGATCACAATAAGATCACACACATACAAATTACTATCATTATTTTGGTGTACTTCTTATATACTAAATTTATTAGGCTCTTAATCCTGAGGGGTTTAGTGGACTCAAGTTTTAATATTGTTCACTTTAACTTACCAATGTGTGAGATCTTTAAGGTCAATACCATGGTAGTACCAGGAAGCTAATGTTGGAGTTGTTGGAACACAAATGCTTAACAATGAATCCACACTCATTATAAGAATTATAATAATAAGTTTGGCGGCTCCAAAAATAACCGTTTGACAGAGATGATTAAGGCCAAAAAACAACCCAAAGGGCCGGTTCCGTGGATAACTTTGTATGTGGTATCAAATGTGCATACATCTCCGAAATGACTATAATCTATAATCATACAAGGATTTACCCAAAAAATATTCATTATCATTTGTTCATTATCCAATTGGAGGTTATAGTAGAATGACGAATTTTTACGGCACTATTCTTTGAAATGTGACAGGAGCCACACCTGATTGCCATGTTACATATCCAAATGCCTTTTCTATTGTAAGTAATTGAGTCGGTCATGCTTTGTGAAGCCAACTGATTTAATCCCATCAACTTCCCCTGCCATAAAATAAAATGCAGTAGACGATGAAAGTCCTACGGCATGTGACAACTCAACATCAAACGACTGGGTAACACTAATACTTGTTTGCGAGGGCATCATGTGCCTCAAATTAGGTTTGACAAAAGGGTGGTTGTGTGCTTCTACAAACTTACATACAACATAAATTTGCTTTAATCTGTCATTACATAATACCCATCTGTGTATCACAACCAATTCGAGTTTCAGACCTAAGGGTCTTTATAGTATGGGGCTTACTGCCTTGGGCTCAAACACCCTCTTTGCAATAGACAAACATTGTTGATGTAACTAATCCATTTTTTTATTTATTTTTTTGTCTTTGTTTGTATACTCCTTTCGAATGCTAAAACCTAATTGACCACCGTATGCGTTATAGAAATTATGAGCAACTTCGGGGGATTCAAACTCCATGGACATTATTCTATGATATTCAGCTGTAAATTCTTCGAGGTTATCAACATTGTCAACACAAACGACATTATCAACATTCTGAACATAAACAGAATTATCAACATTCTCAACACAAACAACGGTATCGCAAATATCATTATCAACATTCTCAACACAAACAACGTTATGACCATTATGAACAATCTAAGCAAAATCATCATTAACGTGTGGCACTTCTTCATTCATGATTCCTACAATCAAATAACAAGCCGGCTGCACCACGGAAGTATGAACATAAGAAAAAAGTGTGCAAGTACGATAAAAATAACATGATCCCATCAGTATAGTGGTCTTATGCCAATACTTTTATTTTCACAAATTCGCTATAACATAAATGTGTAACATGGAAAACTGATAATGCTATGTTGGTGGATATAACATAATGTGTAAGGGATATGTTCCCAGAAATTCAAATTTTGTTTAAAAATCATGTACACAGAATAAAACCAAAACAAAGACGTTTGTTATGAAGAATGATAAACAGAACATGATAGTAATAAAATACGTATAGTGGATTGATAACTAAAACCATTGCTTTCACATATATGGCACCAAAACCCGTTGGATGATATCATCGTTCTAGGATTCGTCAAAACAAAAACAGATTATGGGAATTGGTTGTTGAAATCAATTAAGGAATTAAATGATGTAAGTCAAAATACTCACCTTGTTGTCGTCGAAATTGCTAAACAAAACCCTTAATTTAGGTGTTCAATTTAGCTGTTAACAGAAATCAATTTTTGGAAATAGAAATCGATTTTTGGAAATACAATCAAAGCCCTCTAATCTTTTGATTCCTTACAAACACACAAAACAGAAATTGATTTTTGGAAATAGAAATCGATTTTTGGAAACAAATGATTTGAAATTCAGCAATTAACATATCATTGTTATGGGATTTGTCAAAACAGAAATTGATTTTTGGAACAAATGATTTGAAATTCAGCAATTAACATATCATTGTTCTGAGATTTGTCAAAACAGAAATAGATTATGGGAATTAGTTGTTGAAATCAATTGAGGAATTAAATGATGTAAGTCAAAATACTCACCTTGCTATCGTCAAAATTGCTAAACAAAACCCTTAATTTAGGTGTAAATCCATAATCAACTCCGGTCACCACAATCAAAGCCCTATAATTTTCTTTTCCCTCACAAACATACAAAATAGAAATCGATTTTTGGAAACAAAATTGTTTGGAAAACAGAAATCGTGCAGGAGATAATTTCGTTAATGGCAGGATTTGGGAAAGAATGACATTAATTTGGGAAATAATTTGGTTAATGGTGGGATTTGGGGTTTAGGGCTACTGTGGGTTTTGGAGGGAGCGCGAGAGAGGGCATGTTTGTTGTCTAACTATTGGTGCAAGGAAACAAACTCAAGCATAAACCACGGTTAAGGAGGGCGACGTGGCAGAAGGAGGGCCAACGAAAAAAATGAACTGCATGGACTGGAGGAATAGTGAACTGGACTGAATTCGAGTCCATCAGTATTCCATATCTTCTCACGTCAAGTTTTATGCTTATGTAAGAACCCCAAACCAGAAAGAGCCTAAGAGCAAACGGTGTAGGGATTTTTTTGCCAGCTGGGAAGTCAGAGGAGCTAGTGTGTTGCATGGTATGAGGCTAGCAAATGGTGGGTCCCAGGTGAAGAATCGCAAAGCCAATCGCCACAGATAACATATCAATTGCGAGTGATGACTGGCCCCACAAACTGTAACGGCTCTTTATTTTTTTTTCATTTGATTTTTTTCTTTACTATTTCGTTTTATATGTAATTTATTTTTATTGTAAAAAAAAAAAACATTTATGATTTTGATTATTTTATTTTATTTTTTAATTTTCAAATAAATATGTATGATTTCTATTTCTGTCTTTTGGATTTTTTTTTTGGTAAGTTTGTCAACAAATATATATGAATTTTTTTTAATAAAAAAATAATATTGTTAGAGATGGTTTTTTTCTTTACTATTTCCTTTTATATGTAATATAATTTTATTGTAAAAAAAATATTTATGATTTATGATTTTGATTATTTTATTTTTTATTTTTATTTTCAAATAAATATGTATGATTTCTATTTCTTTGTCTTTTAAAATTTCGTTCTTTGAAATTTGTCAACAAATATATAAGTAAAAAAAATTAAAATAATACTTTATTAATCACAAACAAACAATATGAAGAAATACATTTTACTCAATATTATTGTTAAACTTCTTCATTGCCAAATTTATTCCACAAATGCTCCATGAGATCTCTCCTGAGATCCCCATTGTTTTCTTCATTGCGAATCTTGTTGAGGCGAGTGGAGATGTATGTTGCCAAAAATGATCGGTCTCGATTGTACTATGGAAGGTAGACCGACTTATTTGCTAGAGGTGTCCATTCCAAAATGTTAGTATCGCCCTCCTCTTCTATAATCATATTGTGCAATATGATGCACATTCTCATTATCTTACTTAGGTCTTCTTTCTTCCAATAATTTATTGGTCCATGCATTATAATAGCCCACCTTATCTGCAACATACGAAATGCCCCGAATTCTTGTCTTTGACCAAACAAATTCTCTTTTCCAGTAGTTGGGTGCGGGATGGTTTGCATCAAAGTTGCCCACTTAGGGTATATACCATCAGATAGGTAATACCCCAGCGTACAGTGATGTCCATTCACCTTGTAATTCATTAGAGGCATTGTATCATTAATGATACGATTGAATATTGGGGAATGATCTAAAACATACACGTCATTGTGTGAACCAGCAATACCAAAGAAAGCATGCCAGATCCACAGATTTTTTTGATGCAACCACCTCCAATATGATGGTTGGCTTACTGTCTCTCCCCTTGTGGGTGTCATGCCACCCTTTAGGGAAATTCTTCTATTCGCAATGCATACATCTATAGAGTCATGAGTTGTAATCAAAAGTAATACGTATACTTACATGGGGATCTTCTTTCTTCCCCTTCTTGAAGTAAATATGCAATGTTGCTTTCGTTTGGCGAGCGTAGGTACTGCTCCGTATACAACGCAATTACAGCATCACAAAATCTCTTCAAGCTTTCGATTGCAGTGCTGTGATGACCCTGGTTCTTCAGGCCAGTGCGTCCTGTGATGAACTGGAGATTGACCCGATAGCGGATCCAGATACAAAAGTAAGAAACAAGACAACAGTCACCCAAGGCACAACATGCCTCCAAGACACTCTGATGACCTTCCATGAGGTCTGGAACTCAATGAAAACTGATGCGGAAACAAAAGATCAGAAAAGTAACAATTTGGCCTCTAGGGGCAAAATAGTCATTTCTAAAAATATGGATTCGGGTGCCACTAAGCACACTACTGAAAATACAACAAAAAAATAATCAAGATGGACTCAAGAATCACATGATTCAGAGTCCGGATGAAGGAGAAACGGCATAACGAAGAAAAACGAGTCGTTAAGGCTAAAAGGGTAAATTGGTAATTATCTAGGAAGATTTGGGTGAAACTGAGCACACCATTGGAAAGGCAGTGAAAAATTAATCAAGTTCAAAAAAAAATTCACTCGATTTGGAGTTTGGACGAAGGAGAACAAGCGAAAACAAAAGGTGACGTCACGACGTCGAGACGAGCACCCCACGAGCACTCCGACAAGCACCATGACATGCTAGGGGAAGAAAAGTTCTAGCCAGAACTGAGAGCTGAAACGAGATCCGAAATGAATTTTTCTGGAAAAACATGCGCCCCCCCCCCCCCCCCCCCCAAATAAAGTTTTATACCCGACAGCGAGAAAGAAAACACAAAAAACTCATTGTGAAACACCCAAATTGCCCTTAAATCAGAAAAGGTTAAAAGGTCAAAAAGCTGCTACAGGATCTGTCTGTGACTGAGAGCAAAAATGGGTCATCAATGGAATTTTTCTAGAAAAACACGAAGAAGAACCCCCCCCCCCCCAAAAATCAAGTTTTCTACCCGATAACATAGACTGAAACAAAGAAAATGCACTGTAAAATGCTCAGAATACCCCAAAAAAAATCAATTTAAGAAGTTTAAAATCTTTCCGAGCTGCTGCCAAAGGAAAGGAAATGGGGTTTCGGGATGTTTTTAAATCGTCTAAATTTAAAATGCAATATTAAAATACACCCACAAGACCCCCGGAAGTTTCGGATCGGTCGACACATTTTTCAAAAAAAAGTCGATGAATACTACCAAGTACTAAAATCTCAAGTTTAAAAAAAAAACATATTTGTAAACTTTAGAATTAATGGCTTTTGGCCTCATGTCATACATACAAAATAAGTATCCAAAAAGTGTACTTAGGTACGCATTACATATTTGGAATCAAGGATATAAGTTTTAATATATAAGGTTATAAAATGACATTTCATGGTAACATTTGCATAAAATGAAAATTTAAAAGTTACAAGTCATCCAAAGAATGATGAGCATCACGAACAAAGCCTTCGTACCTAAAACAAATCCCCAGTAACTTCGGGGTGAGTGACATAAAGCTACTCGTAGGAAATGAGCATGCATCGAACTTGCATTTTACAAAATTATCGCCTTAAGGTGAAACATGTCAAGGGGCTCATGCCACCTAACGTCTATGTCAAAATGATACTCAGGGAGCATCCTAGGCTACCTTAGATCATTTCTAGCATAAATCACATCATTTATGCAATTTAACCATATAGAAGCATACTGTACAACGCGACATGATATAGGTTCTCAACAGTATCAATTTGCAATTTAAGATACAAAAACAATTAAAGTGGGTCATGCCACCTAGCGTCTATGTTCCAAATGAGTCTAAGGAATCATCCTCAGCTACATTAGAACAATAAAACATAAGTCACGATATCGATGTAATTTAACTAGCATTGGAACTTCCAATACCACGCATAAAGCATGATTTCTCAAGTTAACATCTTGAAACTCAAAATGGAAAATCAAATAAGGAATAACAAGTTACGATATCATCTAATTATCAACTTGAAATGAAATACAAAATCAAACCAGGCGGATACTTGGACGTCATGCCGGATCAGACTGACACCATAGTTATTTTAGGGTTACTAGCCCATGGGTAACCTCCCTATGTGTGCACTAGACTTGTAGAGGGACAATCCCCCGTACTAGAACCATGTCCTAGCCTTAATTAAATAACAACATCCCCAAGTTTCCAAAATCACTAAGTTGTGCAACAACGTATATATCAACATGTATATACAAGATAATCAATTATCTACTACGCACAACCAAAATTGGAAACACATACAATACATGCTCTAAGTCCATAACTACTATGGCATAAAAGATGTCAAATATAAAATGTGCAACTCATTACACAAGACAATGATATATTCAATAAGGAAAACATATTCTCATGAATATAAATATAACAACTATGTTATCCAATGCTCAAAATGTAACCAAGTGAATATACAACAAGTCCAAGTCCATGATATAAACATAGAAACAACTTCCAAAACATAATTAAATCCATGGAGCAATTAGATAGAATTTAATTAAATAAAAATAATTAAATTCTCTAGATTCCAAATTAATTCCAAATAATCTCAAATTTATATATGTTGAAGGACATATCATGGTCATCACATACATAACATTAAATAACTAATTAAGTGATTAAAATACTTAAAATAAAATTAATTAAACTAATTAAATAATTTCCTCTAGATTTTTAAACAACTCCAAATGCTCTCAAATTAACGTATGTTCAAGAACTCACCAAGGCCTACTTTAATATCACATTACAAATTTATTCCATACTTGATACAACTATGTGAATTAAACTTTCACAAAAGATAAGTATTAAATAAAAGTTACAATTCTTATTCAAATAATCACAATTTAATATATATCAACCACCATACCAAGGCCTAAATTTCTAGCATGCCACAATTTAATTCTAAGTTGAATATCATCATAAGAATTAAACCTTACACAAAGAAAATAATTAAATTAAATTCTAAATTATGAACAAAAGCATGCATACAAGTTGTATAAGCATCATTAGCATGCAAGACAACAAAAATATGAAACTATAACACCCCCTACCCCCATTTGAGATGAAAATCTCAAATCCCCACCGAAATAAAACTGCTCCGAATCCGATGATACTCCTAGGTTATGTCGGGGACAACATGGTGAACATTAAACTCCAAAGAGGACATACCAAAATCCAAACTGGGCCTTAAACCTGAACTCAAAAAATGACAAAAAATGGATTCTAATAAGGGGGAAAGATGCGCGTAGTCAAGACAAGTATAAAACACGAAGGCACTACGATTTTTTAGCAAAGGGAAGGAGGTTTAATTGAGAGAAGAAGGGTGGCAGCCCCCCTTGGGCTTCCATGACAGCTTTTGGTCGTGCATGAAGAGAGGGGAAGATCACTTTTCTATTTTATAACCCCCTATTTATAGGAAAACCCTAAAAGTGCCCCGCCGGGTCCGAAAAAATGAAATTTGAGCAGACGCACTCAAACGGCAAAACTCTGTGAACGAAAAAGAACTGATATGAGAAAATATGAACAACAGAAGAAACAACATCGAAAACTGAGTACTGAGTAGAGAGATATGCCCCGAACAAGTTCGGTGCCAACTAGGGCTAGAAACCCTAAAACTGGGGAAAAACGACCAGAAGACAATTCTAAGAGTACACGGCTTGATGAAAAGTGAAAATGAATCCCATACGAGGATCCAGGCTCAAA